ACGTTGCAGTCGGGCGTTACCGACTGCGGAATACTCATTCACACCCCATCAGCAAGTTGGTATGTTAGTTTTGTCGTTATACTGTAGAAAATTAATTTTTATTCGATTTACCACGCCCCTACAAGGAGTAAACACTTCATTTTGGCCAGTTCATAGAGCAAGCTAGCGGTAACCTAGCTGCAAAATTTGGATGCCTACGCTCAAAAAATGAAAAAAGTACAGGGTATTAACCATATTATTTGGGGAATCGATAAAGGACGTTACTAAGAGCTTATCTATCCAAATTTGAGCTCTCTAGCATCAATAGTGTCCAAAAAAAACAGAATTTGAAAAATCACTATATCTTCAGGTCCTATTTGTCACGGCCCTGGTGGGCGTAGACATATAATAGATATATCCGCCATAGTATTGCTAGCGTTAGATATATCCGCCATAGCAAATGGTCTGGGATGGCTCATCAACTAATATGGTTTCTGGTATATCGGAAAATGCATTTTCCGATTTGCCACGCCTCTAGTGGGCGGAAAATTTTAACAGTTTATAAAATGTAGATAAACACGAGTATGCGGCCCTAATTTCCAGTCTCTAGCTTCAATAGCGCCGACATAAACTGCAATCATACGGACGTACAGCACATTGCACAAAACGGACATTGCACAAAACCAATATACTCATTTAACTTTCGTGAATGATAAAAATATATCCTTTTTTTATACACGGAGTCAAGTTTCTAGCTCTTGTACTTTTTCTCCATCTTACTCTATTAAGTGATCTATTAAAAACATATATATACTGTTATATAAACATGTGTATATATAAATTATACAATTTACATCTCTGAGGACTGCGTGCAAATTGATATTATTGCAGTAAAATATAAAATCTTAAAATCGAATCGACGTCCAAAGTATTTATGAGTATGTTTTTTTTTAGATGGCAACTGCACAAGAACTGGATAAAATAAGAAAAGCAAAAATGTCAAATGCTTCGAACAATAATTTGCGTCAGCCTGTGACCGTGATAAAGAAAAAATCGGGGCCATTAGATAGTGTGATCGATGAACTGCAACAACTAGAAGAAGCCGAGACTCACACATATGTAAAACAACATTCGACAGCGACGTCTGCGTCTACTGGACGGCGACGCTTTCAGTCAAAGGATAAGGATAAGAAACGCGAGCGTTGGTTATTGACTCGAAAAACTTGGCGATATATGACAGATGCGGGCCGCAGGTTGTTCCCCGAAGGAAAGACATTCCATGGCTCAGATAGTATAACCCAAATAGAAGAACAATTTCAGCGTGTCTGTGCGTCGGAACCACGGTTTATATTGTGGCGTCGCAAGTCCTCGTATCCAGGTGCTACAAAGAGCTGCTCCAAGCGACGTCTCAAGATACTCTCTCAGCATCGGGGCTATAATCATACCGCACAAATCCATCAACGAACTCAAGAGCTGAATGAGAATATAGACGTGACTATAGAGTTATTACAGTCCTATCTCAAAATTCGAGATTCGTATAAGACGACAGCGTTGCTGGGCACCAAAACTGTACGTCCAGATCAAACATCTTCACCCAGTTCCCAGCGACCGAACTATGAGAGTAAACTCTTGAGTTTAACTGATTGGCATGTGAATAGCCCTAGCTATGAATCAATGCTATTGAAAAATTTGAAATCATTAAAAAATTCATCATTGACTAGCATAGGGATCGATGATAATATAACGCTAGCAATGCTTGAAGATAAGGCTTTGTTAAAAAAGATATATAATATATTGAAGAAGCAGCAATTACATCGTATTTTACATTCCACTGAGCCACCATCGAGTAAAGCTATTTTAGCCAGATCTACCTCATACTCCAGCCTTCTAAATAGCAACGTAGATAACAGCTGCTATGATAGCGCCCCAAAGTATATGACCAACTTTCAAGATTCCGTTGACATGATTCAAAGGCCCAAGCCGATCGAATCATCAAATGCAGTTAGACGCGCACAAAAGCCACCGGTAACACTCGCACTAAGTCGCAATAGTACCAAGAATTCGGAAACAAAGTTAGTCAATAAGATTCCAAGCCAGAGAGTACGTGAAAAACTCTTCACAATGAATTCATGTGGAACGCAAACGAATTTCGTTCAATTGTCTGAATTAAAACTACTAGCAGAGCAATATGAGCAAGGTTTGAATGATAGCAATTATAATAAAAATAATAATTCAGAGAGCGACGAAGCCGAAAAACCGCCATTGGGCAACCACATTTCAACCCACAGACGTAGCTCGATCGATAACGAAGACGTCTCCCAGTCAGTTAGCGATACGATAAAACGATATTTACGCATGGCCCGAAAGAAAAGTCTGCATGATGGCGATGCGAACCGTTTCAAGTCTGTTAACTACGATCGAAATCTGCGTAATATTAAGGCAAAAGGCGAAGTCAACCCACCTGGCATGGATGAAGGCAACAATAAGGCAGCACAAACGTTGGATGCGTGGGCGCAAGTTGCTTTGGACTATATACGCGGAAATGAGAATTCAATCAATTTACAAAATGCTCATAAAGCCTGGCAGAAAGATTTAGATGAGCGTATTCGAAAGAAAAACGAGTGGGATAAACAATTTAAAGAGCGCAACACTGACGCACAGTTTAGTAGCTTCAATAGAAAGACAATTGGTCAGTCTCCTTGCCTGTCGGCGCCCAACTCACCAACAAGCCCCATTCAACATCATCTGCCAAAGGAGAAGAGCTTACGAACTGCTAGCGCCATATTATCCTCTAGCTCACACTTTCTATCAAATTTCTGGCATGCTAACAGTAATGATCCCTCAAGTACACAAAGTTTAAAGTATGGGAACATAAGTGAATCACATTTGAGTAAGTATGCATTCACTCACACGAATATATTCATCATTATTTCTAATCGGAATTGCTGTTGCTGTTGACTGTTGACTCATATACAGTCGGTAGCTATGCTAAGTATAAAAGACCTTCCATCTGTCCATTCACCTGCACATCCTGAAGCGTTGGAGCAAGAGGTTGAAAGAGATAGAGAAAGAGGGTAGGAATGGAGATGTGAAGAGCATGAGAGATAGAAAGGAGGGTAATGAGCGAGAGGTAGAAAATGAGTGAGGCAGAGACAGAAACAGAGACAGAGAGAAAGAGAGATAGAGAGAGACTTTATTAGGCGTACATATATATGTTAAATATGATTTTGCCTTGTCCTTTAACGTTGATAAATCTGTCATGCATATCCTACCTAATTCACCAATTTTTCGGTTCCCTTTCAGATTCAGATAAAAATGAAACAACAAATATGCAGAAATCAAAATCTTTATCTAATGTTGGACATTTTGTATCCAAAAAATTTTGGGGAAGTCGCTTCAAGTGTCAAAATAGGCAAAGTCATAGTCACGACTTTGTAGCACAGCAACAAAAATGGACTCCTCTGGTAACAAACAAATTTAATAAATTAAATTTTGAAGATTAACCTAGTTGAAGCAACCTAATATAAACTGTTGCATATCTCATTGGCGTAGGAGAAATACTCATGGATATCTGAAGAAGGTCATATTCTCCAGCTAACAGATACATCATTGGAAAAACTTTCTAATATTGAAGCTGAAGTGCTAATGCACATAGCACTACAGAAAATCAAGGAGCTAAATATTGGCATGAGCATAGGTAAATTATTCCATCTGTTGCATATTCATATTCTTGACACAAATATTATATTTATATTATGTATATTTATTTTGATACAGATTTGGATAGGAGCAAGCAGAAAACTCGCGTCATATCAAAAAAAAGAGCACTCACAACAAGTTTTTTTGATATTGGCCGAAAGGATGAACACAGTAAGCACGATTTTTGAACCCTGAACCCCTTGAAATTCAATTCTTCTGACTGTCTGTCTGTCATCAATTCACCCACCCGAAAATGATGCAATTTTCATTTTATTTTATAGTTTTAAGATTGTCTTATTGACTGATTCTACAGACTCTTTCAATTATGACTATGCCTGTAACAGTCCGACTTTAAATACGAATTATTTGTTTTTATACCCTGATCGCATTAGAATGGTAAGTAAGGCTGAAATGTATGTAACAGATAGTGGACGCAACAGATCCCATAAAGTATATATATATGTACATTTGTTTGTCTGTGCTAAAAGTTTCTCCTATTTTTCAAGTATTTATTCCATGATTGGTAATTATTTTTTAAGTCGAATTTGAATGCTGTTAAACCTAAGACTTGAAATTTGGAACATATACGCGTGTATAACTCCGATTAATAAATTGTTGAAATTTTCCGGATCCGCCCACTAGAGGCGTGGCCAATCGGAAAGTGCATTTTCCAATATGCCAAAAATTATTTTGGTTGAAGAGCTGGAAAGCTGAAATTTGGTATGTAGATCCGCGTGGACTACCCAAGATCACCAGCTATGGCGGATATATCTCCGCCCGTTGGGGGCGTGGCAAATGGGATAAAACTGTATCTCCCAAAGTTGTAAATCTAGAATGCTGAAATTTTGCACGT